ATATTTATTATTATTATTACTATTGTTATTATTAGCTGTAGCAGAAATGTTTAATTCTTTGCAGTGTTCAAGAGTAAACACATGATGTCACCGTCTAATACCTGTCCGAATAGCCATTCCAATATGCAGTCATGAATGGGTTTACATTATTTATACTGTAGTTTAATAGCAAATAATGAACAAACAAAACACTCACCACAGTGAGTGGTGGGAGGGTTGGCTGCCAGTTGCGGGGGTCGGAGGGAGGGTAGTAGGGACTCGCAGGTGGCGGGAAACTTAAATATGATTTGGCGGCTGGGAATTTGGCGGTTGGGAATTCGCGAATGTGTGAAGCCTGTGAAAGTTGAAAACGTGAATGTTGAGGGAGACCTGTATACTCATACTTCTGTGTGAGGACTACTAGGTACTGATGCTGCTGCCTTACACACAGAAGCCCACAACTACACCATGACTGAGTCTGCCAGATCAGTCTTCAGTATACTCCTCACGTAATTTCCTATTTTCATAATAGAGTAAAATTCTCATTATATAAATTATATATAAACTAAAATTAAAATGTCAAAAGTCACTATAGCATTAGCAATATAGAGACAGAAAAAAGAACCGGTGGTACGGTCATCCAGGGGTCTAGGGAAAGGATCCATCTAGTTTTAGGCTGGGGTCAAAGGGCAATACCACATTCTCTATAATTAGTCTTAATTTTTTTCCACAATTTGTATAAAGTGAATATCAAAAATACAAGTCAAAACACTTTTTTAAATCTCCTTTATATTTTTGCAATGCCTGTTGAATTTTTAGTCAGAGTATAAACTGATCTTAATTTGCCAGTTTAATGGGTGCTCTGTTACATTACTAATGTATTTAAAATTTCCAAATAAATATGTATTACATATTAACTTGTAATGCTATCATAGTACTGTGCATTTGTAAAGTGATACATTGTTCTAAAGATTCTTTTAAAACCATACAAAATATAAGTGACTGATTTAATTCACTAAAATGCAGCTTACCTAATAATTAACAGTAAAAAAAATAATCTCTCAAATCTAATACAGATGGCATGTCATGAGTGTGTGTGCATATCTAAACCAGTAATGTGCAAGATTTAACATGAACACGACAGACAGCAACTGTACATCTTTACTTACTACTGTACACATTACAACTCTATAGCCTTGGTATTTATATCTTGACAACTACACTCAATAAACACCAATTAATATTTTCTTAGGTATTACTTATTTTCTCTATTGTATTGCACATATTTCTACTGTGGGTGCAATTAAAGCTACAGATCAAGCTTTCAAACTGTGAACAGCTTAATTACAAAAACATATTAAAATGCAAGATTTCTAAAAAGTATGATAACTGCAAGCTTGTCCAACACTTGTTACTTACACTGTCTCGAAACCAACAGGCAGAAGATGAATTCTATTAATGATAACAGATCATTTACAAATATTTTCTTCATACAAATTTTAACAACTGAATAATAAACAAATTACTATTTAATTTTTCATCCAAAATCAAATTGCTATGTTTCTAATATTTACTACAGTACCATAATTTTGTTTTAACCTCACTTGCCATTTCACAAGAAGGTACAGTGACTCTTGAGAAGAAAAAAACATTCGTCTACCCACACAGTAGAGAAGTTAGACAAATTATTGTTGCTGTACACATACTGAAGACTTGTTCTGTAGGGTGCAGCAATTCACAAAACACTGATGCATGTACAATGCTTTACTATTAGTTTTCATAGGTTGAACTGCACTTACAAGGCAAGTCATCCTGAATTACAATATAGTTGATAATTAGACTAAAAGAATACTTATTACTTGCCTATAAATAACATGCTTCTGAAAAAAAAATTTACCACTGAATATAAAAAATCAAAGATGCCATGAAATAATGAAAATGTTACATCATTAAGGTACATATTCTATTATCTGATACTACTACCAAGGTTGTAAGTAAATGAAAATGCTTCTCAACTCATTTTCCAATATTTTTGAAGAAAATTAATGAAGTAACACTGAAAACATTAAAAACTTCATGAAGCCTCTGAGGAAAACTTTAAACTTCTCCCATTTAAGCTGAGCCATCTGGGTCAAATCTGTATGTTATAACCTCCTGTGCAAACTACAAAAAAATCTAATTAATAAATCCATGAGAAATGGCTTGCAATTAAACTGTAATATGATCATAATTCAAGAAATATTTACAATACCATTAATTTAGAATTAAAGAGTTTATTTACTGCATATTTTATATTGGTATAGTTTGACTGTTGAAAGAGACTGCAGTTCCTACCACCATGTATAGAGTGCAAGACTTCCAACATCTTAATGAAGATCTTATTTTGCTAATCGCAAATGAAAAAGAAGAGTACTAAGTATTATACAGATGAGTGTGGCTTAAATTTTTTGCTTAGTAACAGAGTACAACTTTTATTGAAAGTCCATGAATTTCATATTGGAAAGCCAGTGAAATAATCAAGAGAACTGTAAATTACAGTAATATTGCCTCGTGGTGATTTTGTAGTAGACCAAGTTGTTTGTTAAATATAGTAAAAGACAATGCATATTTTTAAAGTGAATCAGATACAGAATTCGAAAACTGGAAAAAATGGGAAGAGGTTATCAGAGAAACGATGAATAAAGAAAAAAGTTACTTATACTGGATGAATAGAATTAGGATGTACAGTGTGCAGATGAAATAAAATACTGATATAGGAAAACAGTGGAAGTAGTGCAGGAACTTTAACTGAAGGAATTTTTTTTAAATCTACTGGACAGTGAGAAAGAGGGTACTGAATAAATACAAAAATTTTAAGTAAATGATAACATTAGCTTCACAGTACCTGTTCATTTTATTATTTATGAATTTATAAAAATTATTTAATGCTGAAATGTTGAGAGTTACATGTAAAACTGACCTGCATTTCAGGAATTCTTCTGAAGGAAATGATACCTGTACTGATGATATTGCTAGTAATTTATATTTTTATATGGCATTCATATAATGTATAGCAGGAAAGATCCTGCAGAAACATATGCAGTAATTATCAGGAAAGAAATCACAACAAAATGCATGACTGTAAATATAAAAAAAATTACGAAAAAATAAGCAGTAAAAGCAGAGCATTTACGTGTGTTTACACAGACATTCCTCTGACGATGATGTGTGTAAGCACATGAACAATGCTTAGGTTTTTCTATTTTTTTTTCCCCCACTTTTTTTTTTACAGTACTTATCATAAATGACTACCTACAAAAATAAAATACCATAACATTTAATACCAGTTATTTAATTACAAACTTTAATAATATGGGGGGAACAATTCAATAACACAAGTAATGCTGCACCATTACACATGGGATGAATGACACAAGAATTTTTTTTTCAACAAACTAGTTGTATCCCACTGAGGCAGGGTGACCTAAAAAGAAAAACAAAAGTTTTTCTTTTTAAATTTAGTAATTTATACAGAATTTTAATTCAATTATTTTTTATTGCTTAATGTTTTATCAAACATTAGTCTGATAAGAGGTAATTATAACAGGTATGTTTGATAATTATAAATCCTGATATAATTTGGAAAAAAAAAATCTCTTTTAAAAATTTAATTAGGATAAAGTTTATGACTTACTATTACTAGCTTATAAGAAATCCAAACACAGCTACTTCTCTATTTAGTACTGCAGTACACTGTATTTTAAGGAACATTTTCTTCTGACAGGCTATTCTAGTGTACTTTTTGTTATAGCATGCAGTCATTTGTGTAGCAATATGTCGTCTTACTTACAAACCAATCACAAAACTAAAATTTTTTTATTTCATCAAAACTTACTCCAGTCCTAAATATTTGCTGTGCAAGAGATCCACCACAAATGATTACACATGTTCACCAAGTCAATTAACAGTAAATCTACTGGACCTTTAAAAGGTATACAGTAAGTCTTAAAAGGTAAATACTAATTTAGTGAAGGAAGGTGAATACAAAATAATGTTTGTGCTGTCTAGCCTGTACTTATGTGCACTGGAAAGTATTTTACTAATCTTTTATATCATTTATCCTGTGAAGGGAAGAATTAAATAACTTTTTAATACACTGTATTAGAATGAATATAAATAACAAAAAAAAAAAGGCACAATACCGTGACTGGAGCGATACACAAATAACCAGCACATAAAAGAGAGGAGCTTATGACGATGTTTCGGTCCGACTTGGACCATTTACAAAGTCACACTAACGAGAAGGAGAGCAGGAAGGGTATATATAGGCAGAAAGTGGTAGTGGTAGTAGTAGTAGTAGCAGCAGTAGAGGTGGAAGTAGTAGTGGGGAAGTAAAGAGGAGGATGATTCCTCCTTTTTCTTCTTCTCCCTCTTCCCCTTTCCTCTTTCTTTTTTCTCCTCTTGGTTGTCTTTCTTCTGCCTTGTGGTTTTTGGTCCTTCATTATTTATTTTTTATTATTTCTCCCCCTTCTGTGTTATTGCTCTAACCCTCTGTGGGCACCTAGCTCCCTTGCAGTGCTCCTCTTTCTGAGTATTTGACTGGCTCCTCCTCCTTCCCCATTACCATTTCCTTCCACCTTGACTACTACTACTACCACTACCACTTCCTGCCTATATATACCCTTCTTGCTCTCCTCGTTAGTGTGACTTTGTAAATGGTCCAAGTCGGACCGAAACGTCGTAAGCTCCTCTTCTATGTGCGGGTTATTTGTGTTAGAATGAATATACAAGTCTAACAAATACTGTATTAATAAGAACAACTTAAATGAGAAATACTGTAAATATGTATGTAAAGTTTACAGAAATGCAAAACCTAACAGGTTATCCCTGAAGAAAATAATTAATATCTGTATTTGGTAGCAGGTGATTATCTTTTAAAGTCTGTTGGACTGTTAGGTTTAAAGTCTGTCGACTGCATGATGTTTGTTAAGGCTGCATATTACCTAAGCACCACTAAATAAGAATACTTGAATTTCTAAAACAGATATTAAAGTAAACTGTGTATAATGAGAGATATACACTTCTCGGTATACATTTTTAAGATTCCTTTGTTAAAAAAATGTCTCTTACCAAGTTAAGTGTTACAAGAATATTAACATCAGGTACTTTACCTCTATACATTATTTCTTATTTTTCTACTAAATAATTAAAGTAAAGTTTGTACCTTTACTGAAGGCTCTCATATGTAATATGAACCCTATGTTTTGCTGTTTATATTTTTATGATTTAATCCACAATAAAACATAGCATTTATCAGGTCATACTTAGCATTTTACCAATGATGCAAGATGGATAATATAAATAAGTCTTTCCCTGAAGCCATTTTACTTCTCTAAGGCTATAGGACCCCATATATTGCACCAGAGGGAAATCATATGTACATATGTCTTGGGTTGCCAAGGCAGGGTGACTCCAAGAAGGAAATACATTCTCCAACATTCACTCAATTGCCGTCTTTCCAGAAGTGTGCTGATGTCACAATCAGATCACCGCTCTGCCTGCAACATCACTTTCCTCCTTCAGAGTGCAAGCACTGTATTTCCTACCTCCAGGACTCAAGTCTGGCTGACTGGTTGCCCTGAATCCCTTCATAAATGTTACCTTGCTCACACTCCAACAGCATGTTGTCATAAAAACCACTTGCTTCCACTCACTCCTAACTAACACATTCACATGTGCTGTTAATGACCAAGCTCCCTCCTATACAAAACCTCCTTTACCCTCCTCCTCCCAACCTTTCCTAGGGCAAACCCTACCTCTTCTTCCCTCCACTACACATTTATACATCTTCCAAGTCATTCTATTTTGCTCCAACCTCCTGAAATGTCTAAGCCACTTCAATAACCCCTCCTCAGCCCTCTGAATAATACTCACACTTGCATATTTTGGGTACACAGATTCTGCACCTGTCCATGCGAGTGATTCCCACCACCATTTATATATACGTACACTGCTTCCCTACATTTGCATAATCAATTATAAAAAAATGAAAGAAGTCTAATTATATATTGTATACAGTACCTACTTCCTATACAGTGTGCATTAGTTTAGTTCATAAAGCTGCATTTTGTGATAAATAAAGGAGGATGTGTGAGGGTGTTATAGGTAGTAGGTTGGTAGACAGCAACCGCCCAGGGAGGTACTACCGTCCTGCCAAGTGAGTGTAAAACGAAAGCCTGTAATTGTTTTACATGATGGTAGGATTGCTGGTGTCCTTTTTTCTGTCTCATGAACATGCAAGATTTCAGGTACGTCTTGCTACTTCTACTTACACTTAGGTCACACTACACATACATGTACAAGCACATATATACACACCCCTCTGGGTTTTCTTCTATTTTCTTTCTAGTTCTTATTCTTGTTTATTTCCTCTTATCTCCATGGGGAAGTGGAACAGAATTCTTCCTCGGTAAGCCATGCGTGTTGTAAGAGGCGACTAAAATGCCGGGAGCAAGGGGCTAGTAACCTCTTCTCCTGTATATATTACTAAATGTAAAAGGAGAAACTTTCGTTTTTCCTTTTGGGCCACCCCGCCTCGGTGGGATACGGCCGGTGTGTTGAAAGAAAGAAAGAGTGTGAGGGTGTCAGCAATGTTTATATCTGCTTGTCCCTCCCTCCTCACCACTCTCTACTCTTTACTCTTTTTATTATTGAAATGTGAGGGGGAAAAATTTTACTGTTTAATTTTTTATTTAAATAAATTATTAATATGAATCACATAGTTTATGTCTACACAAGCATTCTGGTAGTCAATTTCACAGCAGAAACAGAGAATCTTGGGCCACCAACCCTTAAGCCCACCAATAACAGCAAGGTATGGAGATGATCTAAGGTTTTCTTTATTTTGATAATTTTTTTTTCATGTTCTTTGGGATAGCTTGTATTCATTGTTCCTACAGAAATACATAACCCAATATTCATTTAATAAAAAATAATGTTTTATGGCCATTAATATACTATGGTGTTTACAGATGATGGCTTTAGGAACTGATAGTTGCTGAACTACCTGTCATAGGGTATAGACAGACAATGGTTATAAATGACCATAATTTTTAAAAGGGTGGACCGGTAAGCCAGCGGAAGGCCTCGGTCAGATGACCAAAAGCTCCAAAGGCGGGTCATCATCTGACTAAGACCCGCGTCAGGAAACACTTGTCCTGTTTCCTGACGAACCTCTAACCTAACCTAACCTGTCATATCTCCTCACATTTCTGTATCAATAAGCAACAACAACTATAGTGTAAGGAATAGAAAACTATTATTTTTGAGACAAATTACAAATCTTTAAAAAAAAAAAATATCTGACATTTCCTTAGGTGTTAGGAACATAACCCAATCTTTCCCAGATGTTCTTCAGTTTATTTACATAATTTTTTAATTATACACCATTTTCAAGAACATAACTACAGTGTTAATGAACGCTCTATTGTACATACAAACATAAAAATGATGTATAAATCTGTGGTAAAAGGTGAGAGCAGAGGTCATCCCAGGAACAGTTGGAGGGACAGATTAAAGGAGTCTGAATTTTAGAGGCTCGAGCATTAAGCAAGCTTATTTGGGAGTATAAGAAGTTAACAGAAACAAGTGGTTTCTAACAGATGTGCTATTGTATGAAGGACATTCAAGGAAACCAGTTAGCTGGACTTGAGTCCTGGATGTGGCAGGGGCAGTGTCTGCACTCCAATGAAGGAGTGGCAAATGTTACAGTCAAGGGTAATCTGAACTGTGATGTCAGAACACTTCTGGCATGACAGTTAATGAATGAATGATAGTGGATGTGTTTTCTTCATTAGATCATCCTCCCTTGTTTCCTACTTTAAATAATAAAGATTTTTTATACAAATTAGAAATTATTTACAAGATGATGGCTAACACACCTGACCAAAATTGTATTTATATTACTGTACCCACTTTTTAATTTTTACAAACTATGGAATTCAAATTTGAACATAAAATGAAAATACAGTACGTACTGCACTGGTATATTAATTAGTACCCGTACATTAAATAAATAAATATATAAAGGAGAAAGGTAAACTGTAAGCTGGTATTTATTTACTTAACAATTCAAAAGGTCGAGTGACTGTATGAGAATCAGCTGCTCAATACATGGACGGGTCTCACGCAAGACAACTATGAATCTCTCAGACTTTCAACAGCAACAGGTCAGTCATGAAGATCATGTACGCTGCATATGATGAATTACAAATGCTTTGACTTCAAACACCCTCATATGATATACTGTATTAAAATTACCTACAAAAATAACTTTATACTGAGTAACTGATTAACCCCAAAAGTAATATACTACATGCAATATTATCTTTCTGATGGTCTTAGAATAAACTAAACTTGTAAAAAAAAAAAAAAATCCTAGTATAATATGCCTAGATTTGTTGCATCTTCTTTGGAATATGGAACAATTAAATGTAATTCATATACAGCAGTTTCCTATGTTGTTAAATAAAAACACCATAATCCCATTTCACAGGCAACTAACCAAGGGAAAGGAACATAATCAACTACCAATGATTTAAAGAGTTAAAACATAGTGAGTTTATTATTTTAAAAATATAAACTATTTTAATTAACGAAAATTTTCACTCATGTTACAAGCACAAAAGATGCACCAATAATGGTGTAAAACCTTTTACTACTATTTCCTTGATTTTTTATATTGTGTAATCTCAATGCAGTAGAGAAATGGTCACAAGGTTCAACATATAAAGTAACAATATATGCACCATAAACCCTAACATATCATTAGGTTATACTATACATACACCAAAGTAAAGTTAATAAAATTGAATATTCTTTGATAGCTTTTAAGTACTTTTTAAGTACTGCTGTATCCAAAGGTACCTTTCACAGTATATATGATACACTATTATCTGTTTTGAATATGCACCACCTGATGCACACATCAAGACTAAATCAGACAAATATACATCTACAGTGAATATATAATGTACTGAACAAAATCATCCACTGAACATAAAATCTATACCCTCCCTTCTTTTGGTCTATGTTGGAACAATACTTCCACAATACCAGGATCTGCCAGAGTTGATATATCACCGAAGTCTCTATCTCCAACAGCAATTTTACGCAGAACTCTTCTCATTATCTTGCCTGAGCGAGTTTTCGGAAGTCCAGGAGCAAGCTGCATGAAATCGGGTGTAGCAAATGCACCAATCTTGGATCGCACTGGAAGAATAATTATTTATAACAAAATTTTTATTACTCAATTTATAACCTTGAAAGATGTTTACTTAGCATGACATAAAAGCAACAGTTTAAACATAAAGATTAACAATTGAAAATATTTATCACAATTGCCAAATTAAAAATTCTGTATACTATATATCCTAGCTTTTCTCTTACGAGAAAAATGGGTGTCCAGCAATATTTCCTGTAAATACACAATACCACATTTCATGATAATTTTTATGGGTTATTTCATGTTTAAGAGCAATTATTTGAGATGGAATTTTCAACAATGCATAAACATTATTAACCAGACTTGAGTCCTGGAGGTGGCAAGTGCAGTGCCTGCACTTTAAAGGAGGGGTTTGGGATATTGACTTTTTGGAGTGACATCTAAACTATTACATCTGGGTGCTGCTGCAAAGTCAGTGATTTTATGTGAATGATGGCAAAAGTGTTGAGTGATGGTGAAATGTTTCTTTTTTTTGGGGGGTCACCCTGCCTTGGTGGGAGACAGCTGATATGTTAAAAAAATAAAGAATTAATTTCAAGATTTTATAAGGATTATCTTCCCTAGGATGCAGCTCACAAAAGATGAATAAATTCTAGGTGTACAGTAACTACTAGGCAAACAGGGGCAGGGAAACAAAAATAAATTTAACTTGCACAATATGCATACAGTATACACATTAAACTAAAATAAATGAGTTTTTCAGAAAAGAATGAGGATTATTTGTACCTTGTTTCAGCAAATTGTTTAATCTGCATTATAAGTTTATGTAGCTTACTGGAAGTTCTTACCTTTATTTTTGAGTTCTGCAACCAATTTGTCGGTATACTCATTGCCTTCAGCCAGTGTGACATAACAGTAAAGGCATTCGCCTTTTACACTATGTGGTCTTGCAACTACTGCAGATTCTGCTACAGCTGGATGCTCCACAAGTGAACTCTCAACCTGAAAAAAGGAGTTTAACTGGGATAAACTATGCAGTTATCTGCAGTAAACCTGACTACAAAAGCTACAGTATTTCATTTTAAAATATCATCTGTTTAGTGATCTTGTTATAGCAGAAAATAAAGGAACTAGCCTAGGTGGGGTCAAACTGATGCATGGTGAATTACTAGAAATGTTGAGCAATTTAAATATTTTGTATTAATGTTGTGAGACATAGAACAATGAAAGGAGAAATAAAGAAGCAATCAGCACAATGAAAAAGTGACTGAACCTGTAAGAAGGATTACAAGAAAAGGTATGAAAGTTACTATCAATGCTAGGAAAGGATGATTCTAATTTATATAAATGGCATGCCAGAAAGAGTAAAAAAAAAAAAAAAAATATATATATATGGGATTTTTTTTTTTCAACAAGTCGGCCATCTCCCACCAAGGCAGGGTGACCCAAAAAGAAAGAAAATCCCCAAAAAAGAAAATACTTTCATCATCATTCAACTCTTTCACCTCACTCACACATAATCACTGTTTTTGCAGAGGTGCTCAGAACACAACAGCTTAGAAGCATATACACATAAAGATACACAATATATCCCTCTAAACTGCCAATATCCCGAACCCCTCCTTTAGAGTGCAGGCACTGTACTTCCCATTTCCAAGACTCAAGTCTGGCTATATAAAAATAACATACATGTACAAGCATATATATACACACACCCCTCTGGGTTTTCTTTTATTTTCTTTCTAGTTCTTGTTTATTTCTTCTTATCTCCGTGGGGAAGTGGAACAGAATTCTTCTTCCGTAAGCCATATGTGTTGTAAGAGACAACTAAAATGCCAGGAGCAAGGGGTTAGTAGCCCCTTCTCCTGTATAAATTATTAAATTTAAAAAGAGAAACTTCGGTTTTTCTTTTTGGGCCACCCTGCCTTGGTGGGCGGAAGAAGAAGAAGAGGGAGGAGGAGGAGGAGGAGGAGGAGGAGGAGGAGGAGGAGGAGGAGGAGGAGGAGGAGGAGGAGGAGGAGGAGGAGGAGGAGGGGAGGAGGAGGAGGGGAGGAGGAGGAGGAGGGGGGAGGAGGAGGAGGAGGAGGAGGGAGGAGGAGGAGGAGGAGGAGGGAGGAGGAGGAGGAGGAGGAGGAGGAGGAGGAGGGGAGGAGGAGGAGGAGGGAGGAGGAGGAGGAGGAGGAGGAGGAGGAGGAGGAGGAGGAGAGGAGGGGAGGAGGAGGAGGAGGGAGGAGGAGGAGGAGGAGGAGGAGGAGGAGGAGGAGGAGGGAGGAGGAGGAGGAGGAGGAGGAGGAGGAGGAGGAGGAGGAGGAGGAGGAGGGGAGGAGGAGGAGGAGAGAGGAGGAGGAGGAGGGGAGGAGGAGGAGGAGGAGGAGGAGGAGGAGGAGGAGGAGGAGGAGGAGGAGGAGGGAGGAGGAGGAGGAGGAGGAGGAGGAGGAGGAGGAGGAGGAGGAGGAGGAGGAGGAGGAGGAGGAGGAGGGAGGAGGAGGAGGAGGAGGAGGAGGAGAGGAGGAGGAGGAGGAGGAGGAGGAGGAGGAGGAGGAGGAGGAGGAGGAGGAGGAGGTAGGAGGAGGGAGGAGGAGGAGGAGGAGGAGGAGGAGGAGGAGGAGGAGGAGGAGGAGGAGGAGGAGGAGGAGGAGGAGGAGGAGGAGGAGGAGGAGGAGGAGGAGGAGGAGGAATGAGGAGGAGGAGGAGGAGGAGGAGGAGGAGGAGGAGGAGGAGGGAGGGAGGAGGAGGAGGAGGAGGAGGAGGAGGAGGAGTGGAGGAGGAGGAGGAGGAGGGGAGGAGGAGGAGGAGGAGGAGGAGGAGGAGGTGAGGAGGAGGAGGAGGAGGGAGGAGGAGGAGGAGGAGGAGGAGGAGAGGAGGAGGAGGAGGAGGAGGAGGAAGGGAGAGGAGGAGAGGAGGAATTAATAAGAATTGTGACCGATTATACAAGAAAAAGTGTATGGTGTGTTATTATTGAAAGAATTAGAGGTGAGAAGAGAGTAGGATTGTGATGAGGCAAGGAGGTTTTCGAGTGGGTAGGGGATGTGTAGATAAGTGTTTACATTGAGCTGTTTTTGAACATAGATTTGATAAAGGTAGGAAGTTACATTGTATTTATGGATTTGAAAAGGCATATGATAGAGTGGATAGAGGAGCATGTGGCAGATTGTTGCAAGTATATGAAATATGTGTAAGTTTGTAATGCTGTAAAGAGTTTTTATGCGGATAGTGAGCTCAGGTTAGGGTGTGTAGAAGAGTGGGAGATTATTCCTGGTTAAAAGTAGGTCCTTAGACAGGGATGTGTTAATAACCCCCTCACACATACATAACACATTTATTTATACACACTCCATCTGTGTTTTCTTGTGTTTTATCTTAATAGTTCTTGGTCTTATTAATTTTCCTCCCCCCACCTTCTCCCCCTCACCACCATGGGGAAGTGGAATAAGAATCTTTCCTCCGTAAGCCAGGTGTTGTAAAAGTTCAATAAAATGCTGGGAACAATGGGGCTAGTAACCCCTGTTCCTGTAAAAGATTACTAAAAAAGAATAAGAAGAAGAAAATTGTCAAAGTGGGAAGTCTAAATGTGCGTTGGGTGTGCTGTGCATGATGATAAGAAAGAGATGAATTGTGAGGTGTTTGCAGAGAAGAAGTGGTTGTCCTGGCTTTATGTGAAACAAAGCTGAAGGGGTGGGAGAGTTTCAGTGGAGAGGAAATAAATGGGATTCGGTCCAGGGCGTCCCTCCTCAAAATTAGAGTAGAGCTAAAGAAGGAGTAGCTTTAATGTTGAAGGTAAGCTTATGGCAGGAAAAGAGGGGACTATAAATGTCTTAATTAAGGATTATGTGGAGTAAAATAAGATTGGATGTGTAAGTGGGTTATAATAAGCGTTGTATGCACCTGGAGAAGAGAGAAAGTGTAGAGTGTGTGAGAGAGAGATTTGCGGAAATGTTGAAGTGAATGCATGGTGGATGTTGTATAAAGTGTGAGAGTAAGGTGGTTGGGGATTCAATGCTAAGTGTGGTTAAATATGGATTATGGAGGAGTAGGAGGTAAATTTGGGGGTGCAGGGGTAAATGTAAATGGGGAGCTTATTGAGCTGGTAGGAAAGAAATTTGGTAATAAGTAATACATTGTTTATGAAAAAGAGGATAAATAATACTAACAAGGTATGATGTAGCACGTAATGAAAGTATTTTATTGATTATGTATTGGGTGGATAAAAAAGGTTGATGGGTAGGCTCCAGGATGTACATGTATGTAGAGGTGCATGCAACTGATATTCGGATCATTTTTTAAGTGTGTAGCTTTACAGTTAGCGTAAGAGGTAGATGGGCAGAAAGAGGGAAAGGTGGGCACAAAAGTAAGAGGGAGGTGGAAAGTGTATAAACTAAAGGAGGGAGGAGTTCGGGTGGCGATATAAGGACTAATGGCGATAGGTGGGATTGGGATTAGTGCAAGATGATTTAATGGGGGGGTTGAAGAGGTTGGAAATAGTTTTTCAAAATGCCGACATAGAATTGTGGGGCAGAAGTTAGTGGTTATAGGCGGGTGGGAGCAGGAGGACCCCCCCCCTTTCTCCCTCATCCCCCCAATTCCCCCCCAACATTCCCCCCCCCCCCCCCCCCCATCATCTCAACCCCCCCTTTCCCACCCCCCCCCCCCCCCTACCCGCCCCCTCCAAAAGGTAAGTATGAGAGGTTTTTTAAAAGCTGAAGGTGCAGAATATATGGAGAGTAAAAGAAAGGTAAAGAGTGTGGTGAGAGATTGCTAAAGAGAGCAGATGATAGAGTGGGAGAAGGCACAGTCAAGAATTTTTAATGAAAATAAGCAAAAATTTTGGAGTGATGTGTAAACAAGGTTTAAGAAAGCCAAGGAAAAATATGGATGGGGAAGTTAAAAACAGTGTAGGGGAGTTAGTAGATGGGGAGATGGAGGTATTAGGTAGATGGCTGAGAATATTTGAGAACTTTTAAATGTTAAGGAAGAAACAGAGGCTGTGTGTGTTTCATGCACTGGTTCTGGGAGGTATACCCATCTTTTAGGGAAGAAGAGCTGAATGTAAGTGTGGGGGAGGTACGTGAGGCATAGTAAAATGAAAAGGGGGGTGTGTGATAAAGCAGCTGGAACTGATGGGATCTTGACAGAAATGTTAAATGCAGGGGGGGATATAGTGGTTTGGACCCCGGGGGACCGTGGTTGAGCTACTTCCCTTGCCTCTCCTAATAAATGAATAGACCTGAAATGAGGGGAAGTACCCTAGGGATTGGCAGTGAGATGTATAGTCCCTTTTATAAAGGGAAAGGGACAAAAGAGACGTTAAAAATTTTAGAGGATAAGCTTACTGAGTAAACCAGGAAAAGTGTTACGGAAGGGTTATAATTGAAAGAATTGTGGTAAGGACAGAATGTAGGATTGGGATGAGCAAGGTGGTTTCAGAAGTGGGTAGGGGATGGTGTCAAGTGTTTACATTGAATGAAGCTATCTGGTGAACAGTATTTAGATAAAGGTAGGGAAGTTTATTGCATTTATGGATTTAGAAAAGGCATATGTTAGAGTGGGATAGAGGAGCAATGTGGCAGATGTTGCAAGTATAGGGAATAGGTGGTAGGTATTAAATGCTGTAAAGGATTTTATGAGGATAGTGAGGACTCAGGTTAGGGTGTGGAGAATGAGAGGGAGGATGTATTTCCCGGTAAAAGTAGGTGTCTTAGACAGGGATGGTGTAATTTCACCTGTTGTTTAATATATTTATAGATTGGTGTTGTAAAGGAAGTAATGATAATGGAGGTGTTCGGAGAGGGGAGTGGATAAATTTTGGGGTATCAAATTCAAAATGGGAATTGACAACAGATAAGTTTTTGCTGGTGATACTGTGCTTTTGGGAGATTCTAAAGAAAAATTGCAAAGGGTAGTGGATGAGTTTGGGAATGTGTGTAAAGGTAGAATAGCTGAAAGTGAACATAGAAAAGAGTAAGGTGCTGATGAGGGTTGTCAAATGATGTAGATTAAAAGAAATATTGGATATCAAATTGGGAGGAGGAGTGTGAATAAGTGAATGTTTTCAGATACTGGGAGTTGACGTGTCGGCGGATGGATTTATGAAGGATGAGGTGTAATCATGAAATTGATGAGGGAAAAAAGGTGATGGTGCATTGAGGTGTATGGGGAGTCAAAAAACGTTATCTATGGAGGCATGAAGGGAATGTATGATGTTTAGTTGTACCAAACCTTTGTGTATGGGTGTGAAGCTGGGGTGTAATTGCAGCAGCGAGGAGTCGTTTGGTGTGCAGTGGAGATGTCCTGTTTAAGGGCAAGGTTGTGGTGTAAATTTTATGCAGAAATTCGGAGTGTGGAACTTACGGAGAAGGTGTGGAGGTTAATAAAAGTATTAGTCAGAGGGCAGCAGAGGGTTGTTGAGGTGGTTTGGGTGTAGAGAGAATGGCTCAAAGTAGATGTGACCTGGAAGGCATTATAGTGTGCTATAGGGGAAGGAAGGCGGGGTAGGGTGTGTGTGTAGTCGAAAGGGTTGGAGAGAGGGGGTGGTAAAGGAGGTTTTGTGGGCGTGGGCTTGACTTCCAGAATGCGTGCGTGAGTGGTTAGTAGAAGTGAATGGTGACGAATTGTACTTGGGACCTGATGATCTGTTGAGAGTGTGAGCGGTAATATTCGTGTATTTTATATTGTGTATGCTTCTAGACTGTTGTATTCTGAGTACTCTGCAAAACAGTGATATTGTGGAGTGTGGTGAAAGTGTTGAATGTCTTGATGAAAGTATTTTCTTTTTGGGGATTTTCTTTCTTTTTTTTTGGTCACCCTTCCTCGGTGTGGAGAGTAGCCCGGATTGTTGAAAAAAAAAAAAATTCTGGGAGGAAACCGGTTATTTTCATATCGTCGGACTTGAGTCCTGGAAATGGAAGTGTGTGTGTGTGCCTGCCACTTTTAAGGAGGGGTTAGGATATTGGCAGTTTGGAGGATTGCACACCTATACCCACCCCCCCCCCCCCCCCCTTATATTGTATGCTCTAGACTGTTGTATTCTGAGCACCTCTGCAAAAACAGTGATAATGTGCGAGTGTGCGAGAAAGTGTTGAATGATGATGAAAGTATTTTCTTTTTTGGGTGTGTGTGTCTTTTTTTTTTGCGCGCATCTGCCTCGCGTGGGAAGACGGCGACTTGTTGGAAAAAAAAAAAAAAAAAAAAATTGGGGCCTGTATATTATATTCTATATGGAGTTGATTATATGTATCGGTCACTTTGTATATGTATCTTTTATATATGCTTCTGAACTGTTTATATCTGGGCATGTCTGCAAAAACAAGTGGATTTCTGTATGCGTTGAGGTAAAAATATTTTGTGTTTTGGGGATATTCCTTGTTGTGTTGGGTCACCCTGCCTAGTGGGGGGTGGTGAACTTGTGAAAAAAAAAATTGTTAATTTTATTTCACACAAAAAATAGAAGATTTACTGTGTGTTGCCGACTAATGCCTTATCGCAATAATTGTATAATAATATTCAACCATTCATGACTGAACACTTCTACTTTGAGGCTCCAATTACAAGGTACTTTTCATTGTGAAAGCAATCAAAATCATAATCATAATTATTTCTGTAATATAATCTTCCATTTCTATCAATGAGACACCCCACCACCACTGCACATCCCACCCTACCACAACCCCCATATGCAACATGCCCCTAAAGTTCGTTGCTAAATTCAGCGAAGAGAAACTCCCACATATTTCAAGCACCCCGATTTCCACTTCTCTCACTCCCCCCTCTTTCCCCGCCCCCGCTTTCCCCCGCTAAAGAAGCCTCTTTCCATTATACATTGCCCCAAGTTTCAATAGATAGTTCAACAACAATGAGTCCAAATTCCTAGATCATGAGCAAGAGCCCTTCACCAGCATCAAGGAAGCTCCTTGAGGTCGCTCACTTGAAAAATTTCGCTGCATATGGAAGCAAAAAAATTGACCCATTGACTGCTGTATTGGAAAAAACTTGCACATGGATGCACTTTGCAAAGTAGAGGTTCCAAATGAAATGTATACAACCTCTGGAGATCTAAAAAAAAATCATTAAAAGAAAATATCTAAAAGTAAATCACTACAAGCACAGTTCTACTTCTAGCACCTGCATATAGTGTATGTGTAAAACAAAGTAGTAGTCATTTACTCACTTTCATGTTACATTTCAAACCCTCATTACCAGTAACATGGTTTTGGCTACTTTTACAATTATCCTTTTCATCCTCCCCACATTTATTAAGTTTATGTATATTACCTATGTAGGACACTAAACCTGAGCGGGTGGTGAAAGAAGATGTCCAGAGTCATTTAAATGTCATCAATCGTCCAGTGACCCATTTTAACCATCCTTCATCTCGCTTTGGCACCTAAGAAAAGGAAAGAAGTGATGTACTTAAATGCCTTATTCTACAAATAACATAAATCTTATTCTTAATGTTTACTGACTAGTAACAAGATTATACAACCTACTACTTCCCCCTATCATTCGAACTTAAGCATCCAAATAGCACAAATAACCTCCTTGGATAACAGCTGTACATTGTGACTTTAAGATGTGTAACAGGACTGTTATGGCAATCATATTGGAACATAAAAAGCATTTTCCAAACTATAACTATTCTTTCTTGTGCTATCTTCATGTTTCCTTTAAAAACACTGAGAGTTTCACAAGAAGGCAGAGAGCCATCCCTCCCCCCCCCTCTACCCCCCCCCAACCCCACCTAAACTCATCCTATCCCACTCTCTACCCCAACCCCCCCCCCCCCACCCCCCCCCCCCCACAGACCCCCCCCAGCCACATCCCGATTTCTTCCCACATAATTTCTGGAAGCAGTGAGAAAATCTCCTTATGCTGGTTATTGGCAAATTAGTAATAGCAGTTATCTGATAAGTGAATTATAGAAAAGCATTATAGTTTATTTTATTCACTAAGCCCATGTGGGTCATTCGGTGTGAAGATTAGTGGAGACATGATCATTCACTTGCTCTGAAACTCTTATGCATATTATATTACTCAATCTCACCTTGCAGGCAGTACTCTTCACTCTCGCTCGCTCACTTAAACCGGTCCAAAGAGATCGATGTTCAAATTCGTAGTGCTACAAAAGCAGAGAGAGTGGGTGAGATGTTAACAAATTTTGTTGAAAATAAGAAAAAGTTTTGGAGTGAGATTAACAAGAATAAGAATAAGAATAAGAAAAGAATAAGAAGAAGAAATTGTCAAAGTGGGACGTTGAAGGTGCGTGGTGTGTGCAGTGATAAGAAGAGATGATTGTGGATGTTATGAATGGAGAAAGAGAAGCTGGATGTCCTGGCTTTAAGTGAAACAAGCTGAAGGGGGTGGGATGGAGTTTCGTGGAGAGGAATAAATGGGATTAGGTCAGGGTTTCAAATAGAGTTTAGAGCTAAAGAAGGAGTAGCAATTATGTTGAAGGATAAGCTCTGGCAGGAAAAGAGGGACTTTAAATGTGTGTTAATTCAAGGATTATGTGGAGTAAATATAAAGATTGGATGTGGAATAAGTGGTTACTATTAGCGTGTATGCTACATGGAGAAGAGAGTAGTGTAGAGGTGAGAGAGAAGGATTTTGGGAACTGTTGAGTGATGCGTGGGGAGTTTTGAATCAAGTGTGAGAGTAATGGGGGTGGGGATGTTATGCTAAAGTGGGTAAAAAAAAGTTTGGAGGGAGTAGTAGGAATATTGGGTGGTGCCAGGGGAAATGTAAATGGGGAGCTTTAATTGAGCTAGGTGTAGAAAGATATTTGGTAAATAAGTAATACATATTTATGTAAAGAGGATAAATAATTATACAAGGTATGATGTAGCACGTAATGAAAGTGTTTATTGATTATGTATTGGTGGATAAAAGGATGATGGGTAGGCTCTCAGGTATGTACATGTTTATAGAGGGGCAACTGATATATCGGATCATTATTTAGTTTAGCTACAGTTAGAGTAAAGGGTAGATGGGAAAAAAAGAGGAAGGTGGCAACAACCAAGTAGAGGCGAGTGAAAGTGTATAAACTAAGGGAGGAGGAAGATCGGGTGAGAATATAAGTGACTAGGGAGAGGTGGGCACCTCTCGCCTCGCCCTAGATGAGTTGTGGGGGGGTGAAGGGGTTGGAATAGTTTTAAAAATTGCAGTATTAGAATGGTGGGGCAGAAGTTTGTGGTTATTAGGAGGGTTGGGGGCAGGAGGAAAGAGGGTGATTGGTGGAATGATGAAGTAAAGGGTGTGAAAAAGAGAAAAAGGTAGGCTTATGTGAGGTTTTTACAAAGCAGAAGTGGTTATAAGAAGAGCAGTGTATATGGAGAGTAAATGAAAGGTAAAGAGGGTGGTGAGAGAGTGCAAAGGAGAGCAGATGATAGAGTGGGAGAGGCACTGTCAGAAAATTTTAATGAAAATAAGAAAAAAAAATTTTGGAGTGAGTTAAACAAGTTAAGAAAGCCTAGGGAAAATATGGATTTGTTCAGTTAAAAAAGAGTAGGGAGTTAGTAAGATGGGGGATGGAGGGTATTGGGTAGATGGCGAGGAATATTTTGAGGTACTTTTAAATGTTAAGGAAGGAAACAGAGCAGTAATTCATGCACTGGTCAGGGAGGAGGTATACCATTTTTAGAGTGAAGAGAGCAGAATGTAAGTGTGGGGGGGTGAGGTAGTGTGAAGGCATTACGTCAAATGAAAGGGGGTAAAGCAGCTGAACTGATGGGATGCATGACAGAAATGTTAAAAGCATGGGGGATATGTGTTGGAGTGGTTGGTTTACTTTTGTTTAATAAATGTATGAAAGAGAAGAGGGGAAAGGTACATAGGGATGGCAGAGAGGCTGTATAGTCCCTTTATATAAAGGGAAAGGGGACTATAAAGAGGACTGTAAAAATTATAGAGGTATGTAAGCTTTATTAAGATAGATATATATGAAGTCCCAAAGTGAACGGTAGGGTTATAATTGAAAGAATTTAGAGGTAAGAAAGAATGTGGATTGCGGATGAGCAAGGAGGTTTTTGAGTGGGTAGGGGATGTGTAGATAGGAGTTTACATTGAAGCATATATGTGAACAGTATTTTGTGTGTAAAGATAGGGTAGTTTTTATTGGTGTGTGGATTTGAAAAGCTTATGATAGAGTGGATGAGGAGCAAATGTGGAGATGTTGCAAGTTAGGAATAGGTGTAAAGTTATTAAATGTGTAAAGAGTTTTTTTATGAGGATAGTGAGGCTCAGGTGTTAGGGGTGGGTAGGAGAGAGGGAGACTACTTCCCGGTTAAAAGTAGGTCTTAGACAGGGATGTGTTAGGTCCCATGGGTTGTTTAATATCTTTATCAGTTGGGGTTTGTAAAGAAGTAATTGCTTAGGGTTTTTGTGGAGAGGTGGCGGGATTAAATTCTCTGGGGAATCCAATTCCAAATGGGAATTGACACACGTTTACTTTGTGCTGATGATACTGTGTTATGGGAGATTCTAAAGAAACAATTGCAAAGGTTAGTGGATGAGTTTGGGGAATGTCGTGTAAAGGTTAGGAAAGTTGACAGTGAAATAGATAAAGGTAGGTGATGAGGGTGTCAATGATTTAGATAAAGCAAAGTGGGATATCAAATTGGGGAGAGGAGTATGGTTGAAGTGATATGTTTCAGATTCTTGGGAGTTGACGTGTCGTCGGAGGATTTATGAAGGATTAGGTTAATATAGAATTTGTGAGGGATAAAAGGTGAGTGGTGCGTTGAGGTATATTGGAGTCAAAAACGTTATTATTAATGGAGGCACGAATGGGAAATGTATGAAAAGTATAGTTGTACCAACACTCTTATATGGGTTGTGAAGCTTTGGGTGGTAAATGCAGCAGCGAGGAGACGGTTGGAGGCTGGGAGATGTCCTGTTTAAGGCATGTGTGGTGTAAATAGTATGCAGAAAAATCGGAGTGTGGAAGTAGGAGAAGGTGTGGAGTTTATAAAAGTATTAGTCAGAGGGGAGAAGAGGGGTTGTTGAAGTGGTTTCGGTCATTTAGTGAGAATGGATAACGTAGAATGACATGTGAAAGATATAAATCTATGGGGAAGGAAGGGGGGTAGGGGTGTCCTCGAAAGGGTTGGAGAGAGGGGGTAAGGAGGTTTGTGGGTATTGGGGCTTGGGACTTCCAGCAAGCGATGCGTGAGCGTGTTAGATAGGAGTGAATGGGAGGGACGATAGGTACTTGGACCTGTCGATCTGTTGGAGTGTGAGAGTGAAACGGTAATATTTAGTGAGGGATTCAGGGAAACCGGTTATTTTCTTATATTCAGGGACTTGAGTCCTGGAAATGGGAAGTACAATGCCTGCACTGTAAAGGAGGGGTTTGGGATTTTGCAGTTTGGAGGGATATGTTGTGTATTATCTTTATATGTTTCATGGCCTCCCCCCCTCCTAGACTGTTGTATTAGAGCACCCTGCAAAAACAGTGATAATGTGCGAGTGTGGTGAAAGTTGTTGAATGATGTTGAAAGTATTTTCTTTTTGGGATTTCTTATCTTTTTGGGTCACCCTGCCTCGGTGGTACGGCCGGACTTAGTTGAACAAAAAAAAAAAAAATAAAAATTAACAAGTTAAGATGTGTGTGAGAACAAATGGGATTTGTCAGTTAAAAATAGGAGAGGGAGTTTATTAATTGGTGAGTTGAAGGTATTGGGAAGATGGAGGGAATATTTGAGGAATTGTTAAATGTTGATGAAGATAGGAAAGCTTGATTTCGTGTAATAGGGCAAGGAGAACGAATCTTGTAGGGAGTGAGGGAAGAGCCAGTTGTGAGTGTGTGGAAAGTTCGTGAGGCAGGTAGCAGTAGGTAAAATGAAAGGGGCGTAAGGAGCCGGGATTGATGGGAAAAAAGATAGAAATGTTAAAGAAGGTGGGGATTATAGTTTTGGAGTGGTTGGTTTGCAATTATTTAAGTGTGTTATGGAGAAGCCTCGGTAAGGTACCTTAGGGGATTGGGCAGAGAGCAGGCTAGTTCCTTTGTTAAAGGCAAAGGGGATTAAAAGAGGAGTGCTAAAAATTATAGGGGGATAAGTCTGTTGAGTATATGCAAAGTGTATGTAGAGCTATTATTTGAAAGAAAAATTAAGAGTAAGACGGTGTATAGGATAGCAGAGAACAAGGGAGGTGTGTGTGTAGGAAAGGGTAGGGGGTGTGTGGAAGGTGTTTACAGTGAAACATATAAGGGAACAGTAATTTAGATAAGGCTAAGAGGTCTTCTGTGGCATTATGGGATTTGGAAAAGGCGTATGACTGGGTGGATAGGGGGGCATGTGGCAGATGTTGCAGTGTATGGTGTAGGAGGTAGGTTACTGAAAGCAGTGAAGAGTTTTTACGAGGATAGTGAGGCTCAAGTTAGAGTATGTAGTAAAGAGGGAAATTATTTCCAGTAAAAGTGGGCTTAGACAGGGCTGTTGTGTGTTTCACGTGGAGTTTAATATATTTTAGATGGGGTTGGTAGAGAAGTAAATGCCCCGCCCCCGCGCGCTCACCCCCAACTTCCCCCCCCTCCCCCCCCCTTCCCTAACCCCCCTCCTCCCCCCCTCCACACCCCCCCCCTCACCCCTCCCCCCCCCCCCCCACCCCCCCCCCCCCCCCCACCTACCCCCCGGTTCCCTCACCCCCCACCCTCCACCCCTCCCTACCCTGCACCCCCCTCCCCCTCACCCCCCTTGCCCATGATGACACTGTGCTCTTGGGAGATTCTGAAGAGAAGTTGCAGAGATTGGTGGCTGAATTTGGTAGGGTGTGCAAAAAAGAAAATTGAATGTGAATACAGGAAAGAGTATACGGTTATGAGGATAACAAAAAGATTAGGTGATGAAAGATTGGATCTCAGTTGGGGGAGGGAGATATGGAGGGAGGTGAAGTGTGTGTGTTCTTTTTTTTTTTTTGTTTTTTATTATCACACGGGTGTGTTCCCACCAGGCAGGGGGGCCCGAAAAAGAAAAACTTTCTACTTACTTCACTCATTCACTGTTTGCCAGAAGGGTGCTTTCACGTTACAGTTGTTAAATGCAACATTAACAGGTGATGTATTCAGATATTTGGGACTGGGGGATGTGTGTCTGCGGATGGTCTATGAAGATGAGGTGTGAATATAGAATTGATGAGGGAAGGGTGTGGTGGTGCACTTAGGAGGTCTGTGGAGACAAAGAAACTTTGTCCTTGGAGGCAAAGAGGGGAATGTATGAGAGTATAGTTTTACCAACGCTCTTATTATGGGTGTGAAGCATGGGTGATGAATGTTTGCAGCGAGGAGAAGGCTGGATGGACAGTGGAGATGTAATGTCGGAGGAGCAATGTGTGGTGTGAATATAATTGCCAGAGAAATTCGTAGTTTGGATGTTAGGGGAAGGTGTGGGATTACCAAAAACTGTGTGTCAGAGGGCTGAGAGGGTTGTTGTGGTGGTTCGGACATGTGGAGAGAAAGGAGCGAAACAGTATACTTCAAGAGTGTATCATTCTGATAGGGAAGGAAGGCTGGGTAGGGGTCGGCCTAGGAAAGGTTTGGAGGGGAGGGGTAAAGGAGGTTTTGTGTGACGAGGGGGCTTGGACTTCCAGCTGGCATGCGTGAGCGTGTTTGATAGGAGTGAATGGAGAAATGGTGTTTTGTAATTACTTGACGTGTGTTGGTAGTGTGAGCAAAGTAACATTTATGAAGGAGTTCAGGGAAATCCGGCAGGCCGATGTGTGTGTGTGGGAGATGGGACAGGGATGTACAGTGCTGCACTCTGAAGGAGGGGGTGTTAATGTTGCAGTTTTTAAAAACTTTAGTGTAAAAGCACCTTTGGCAAGACAGTGATGGAGTGAATGATGGTGAAAGTTTTTCTTTTTAGGGCACCTGCCTTGTAGGGGAATCGGCCAGTGTGGGATGATTTAAGTGTGTGAAAAATAATTTCAAATTATAAATAAAAAAATGTAGATAAAAGTTTTTTACACATTTTCAAATGTAAAACAAAAAAGAAGATCTACATTTTTTACATACTTTCAGATGTTGAAAAAACGTATATATACGTTTGGACCATTTAAGGGTTAAAGTACAGTGATAGTTACCATCTCCAGTGCAGTAGAAACCTTGGAATTTCTTGAAATATGTAGTTTCAAAGCGCTCTCGCATCCTCCCAGAGGACCACCGTCGCGCATAATACCAGGCCAGGGTCGCCGGAACACCAAATAGCCCTCTCCTTCACCCTTAATTTCTCTACCTTCTTCATCTAACAAGGCCACCTCTACTCCAAAGAATGGAAAAGTCTGAAAAAATAAAAAAAGTGTTTTTAACTGCCAGAAACAATACTGACGACATTGTAAACTCAAATGCCACATATACCTTACTAACCCTTCATGAAAAAGTGGTAAATGGCAGATTCCCTCTCCTTGCAGTTTACCAATGATCAATTTTAGACCCAAATTTTATGGGATCTTAAGTTTTGTATATGAGAGGCAATTAACAAAATGGCACAAACTTAACATCAAACTTAATAACAGGCGACCCAACTTATACAGAGGTTAAAGTTCTGGGCTACTGCTGTTAAAGCGAATTAAAATTGCGGGACTGTACCGTGAAAACAGCTTTTTTCACCCCTTTCAGATTGCACATAAATCGCCTGATTATTGTGTATACAACGTCAATATATTTAGTCACACATTTCTTACCTTTAAAACATTTTTTCCTTAGCCTTTTGTAAGTGGTGAATATTTTGATTGGGTAGGAATTTTGAATAAATGAAGAATGAGTATAACTTGAAAACTCGCCGCATTAGTGAAATGCCGTAAAGTGGAGAGTGCTGAAAAGCTGGGCCCCTGCCTGTACATACAGAATAAATCAGTTAACCTAAGGAAGGAATTACTAGAAGAAAGATTTGAGAGTTAACAAATGATCTAAGTTCTTAGGCTGTTTCTCCAAGGGTTGCATTCATTTTTTAAATAATTGATTTGCATGATAACTTACAGCAGATCTGGTTTGGTAGTGAGGCACAGGCAGTGGAGTTTTATAACATGACCTCCAGTCTCTGTTGGCCAGAAGTATCAAACTATGGAACTGTGTGGAGTAACCACCACTCTGTAGTACCACAGCCAGGCCTCAGGATTAATGGGCTCTCCAACACTTCCCAGGACTGTGAGGCTTGAGATGTCATACCTATTTAGGGAATATATTAATTTAAGAAGTTCCTACCTGTAGTCTGTGGAGGGAATTGTGAAAGGCAATCAGAAGAGGATAACAATATAGTTTAACAGAGTAATATAAAATACTTTTTTTTCATATCACTTTTTCCAAATGCATTATGAAATTCATACTTTGAAAATCTTAACCCTTTCAGGGTCCAAGGCCCAAATCTGGAGTCACGCACCAGTGTCCAAGAATTTAAAAAAAAAAAATTTGTTATTTTTTCTTATGAAATCGTAGAGAATCTTTTTGTGAAGGTAATAAAACAAAAAGTACGAAATTTGGTGGAAAATTGACGAAATTATGCTCTCGCGAATTTTGATGTGTCAGCGATATTTACGAATCGGCGATTTTGCCGACTTTGACTCCCATTTTAGGCCAATTACATTATTCCAATCAACCAAATTCTTAGCTATTTCACTAGTATTACTTCTATTCTATCGATTGAGCACAAGAAATCGCCAAGTCAACTGTTTCAACTACAAAATAAAGTGATCGGAAATTGTTAATTTGGCCAAATTTTAACACAAAGTTCAAAATATTCTAATTTCAAAATAGGGTCCAGAATGAACAATGTAGGCATTCCTGGCACTAAACTAACATTTCCTCTGTTCATTAGTTATGTTTTGAGGCTTACAAATAAATTCCATTTTGATTTTTTATTCACATAATGAATTTTTATTCACACCAAAAAATAGAAGATTTACTGTTATGCAATACTGTAATAATTGTATAAATATCATCACCATATTTGTGAATGTATATTAGACCCACCAGCTGACGTGTATTAGACGTGTGAGGTCGTTTGTTTACTCTTGAATATCGGCAAAAATTTAACATTTCTGCTACTTTGAGCTCAGTTTCAAGCCATTTCCAGTGCTAAAACCAATCAAAATCATCTCTATTTCTGTAATATGTCTTCCATTCTATCAAATGAGACCAAGAAATCGCAAATACAACTATAAAAAACATACGAAAAAAACACTGCAAAGTTGCTGTTTAATCGAAAAATCATGATTTCATTTTTTTTCTCTCATTATACACAGTGTGCTGCAGGATCTGTTTTATGTGGTGCACACATACCACATAGATGTATTCTCTCATATCTAGGCCCAAATGTACCACTCACAGTTTATCAGAGTGAGCTGAGCTCATGGCGTAGATCTACGGTTTGGACCCTGAATGTAAAGCCGTAGATCTACGGGACGGACCCTGAAAGGGTTAAAAGTAAACTTCTAAATTTTTAATAACAGAGTTTATACTTTGCATTTGAAATGGTTATATACCATGACACTGCCACAAATGAAAGGAAGGGAACAATAAGTTGTATTATTTACAAAGCAGTAGAACTGCTCGTTTACTTGGTGCCTTTAATGTGAGTTACTAACATCATTATTAATTTGTTGCCCCCATTACTAATTTTGGCCTACATATGAGAGAATGAGTATGTATGTATGTGCAGTGTAGGATGGAAAAGCAAACATTTGACCTTGTGTTTAATTGAAAACAGAAGGTTTGAGGTGTTTTCTAGGATGGGTTTTATGGTTTTATTGACTGTTTCTTGAAATCATTGATAGAATGGAAGATATACTACTAAAACAGATGATTTTGATTAGTTTCAGGATCAGAAGTAGCTCAAAGTAGCAGAAATATTTGATTTTTTCCAATTTTTCTGAGGATGGATAGGGCCCCTCTACACCCCCAGTCTGTTTTTCTGCTTTTAACAGGTCTGCTTCAATTATTGGTGTGAGGTTTTGTAGCAGGAATGATGTCTGGTGGGTGGCCACAGCAACACCAAGTAATGCAATTACACTGGACTTAGCTCAACCAGTATGGTGACAAATTTCATTTATGGTTACCTTTTCTTTGAGGACAGAGCAATGAAAGAATAGAACACCTTATCATACTGCCATATGCAGGTGCATTGAGAGGTGGTACATATTGCAGTCTCTTGTATTAAGAGTTGACAGATACCTCTAGAAAACATTCATATGAAATATAACATCAAATATGCAGTATGAATCCAGAATGTTTTATGTTATTTATAGTGGAGGCTGCACCATCTTTATGTATGATAGCACCCCTATCACAAGAAAAAAAAACAAAAAAACTAAATGGCTTGCTGAGAAAAATACTGAGATTTTACAGTGGCCAAGAAATAGTCCAGACCTCATTCCTAATGAGAATGCCTAGAATATCATGAAAAAAAGTTCATGGAATCCTGCTACATTTAATTCATGTCGTCCCTGCAGGAGATCAAGGACATATGGGTTAATCAGTTATCCACTGATAACTTCAGGGATCTTAGTGAAAGCATATACAAATGGCTTAATGGTTATCAAGGCCAAGGAGGAGATGACAAAATATTAATGTAAGCACCAAGTATTACAGTTTCTGTTTTATAATATTGATACTGTTGCTTTTAAAAATTTTATATTAAATGGGAGGTTCAGATTATTTTTATGAGCAACTTAATTTCTGCATGGAGAAATGATACTAGTTGGACAACAAGTAAGGGACACAATGTGGTGAGAGGCACACTGTGTCCCACTTAGTGGTGGTGCTAAACAGAAGCTTGGGGCAGCTGAAGCCCTCCCCCCTAAAAAAAAAAAAAAAAAAAAAAAAAAATCTTTCAAAATAGTAATAATAATCATAAAGATGTTTCAGAGCAAGAATGCCAACCCTACCAGTATGAGAATTTTGGTGTTGCCCCTGGTCCCAATGTTGATGGATATGATAAATTTTATTGTGAATCAATTAATTACCAACTTACTTTTTTATAGGTTCATCACCAAACTTCATGAGTGTTCTGATCGCAGTAGGCGCTGTGTAAAACTTGGTTACCTTGTATTTTTCAATAATTTCCCAGAAACGGTCAATATGTGGGTAAGTGGGCACCCCTTCAAACTGCAAAGGCAATCAGATAAACAATAATTGTTTCTTTCTGCCACCATAACATATTTAACTACGAAAAATCTTATGAATTTAAAATATAAAAAAGTAATAATCATTTATATGATGGCTGATAGCATGTAATGAACACTTGTCAATGATAAGAGAAAAACCACACAAGGTGATAACAAAACCCACAAGGTGACAATAAAATATACAAGGTGACAATAAAACCCAAAATACAATAAAACCCACAAGGCAACAATAAAACACAAATTGTGACAATAAAACCCACAAGGCAACAATAAAACACACATGGTGACAATAAAACCCACAAGACAATAAAACCCACAAGGTGTTGATAAAACCCACAAGGTGACAATAAAACCCACAAGGTGACAATAAAACAAACAAGGTGACAATAAAACACACAAGGTGACAATAAAACACACAAGGTGACAATAAAACCCACAAAGTGACAATAAAATACAAGGTGACAATATAACACACAAGGTGACGATACCCACAAGGTAACAATGAAACCCACAAGACAATAAAATCCACAAGGCTACAATAAAACCCACAAGACAATAAAACCCACAAGGTAACGATAAAACCCACAAGGTGACAAAACCCTCAAGGTGACAATAAAACTCACAAGGTGACAATAAAACCCACAAGGTGACAATAAAACCCACAAGGTGACAATAAAACCCACAAGGTGACAATAAAACCCACAAGGTGACAATAAAACTCACAAGGTGACAATAAAACCCACAAGGTGACAATAAAACCCACAAGGTGACAACAAAACTCACAAGGTGACAATAAAACCCACAAGGTGACAATAAAACTCACAAGGTGACAATAAAACCCACAAGGTGACAATAAAACCCACAAGGTGACAATAAAACTCACAAGGTGACAATAAAACACACAAGGTGACAAGAAAACTCATGACATGACAATAAAACACAAGAGATTTTCTGTACATTTAACCTTGCAAATGAGGTTGTTTTCAGTAGATGTTGAAGATCTCAAGTTGGTGTTTCAAATAAATAGCAAATCACTTTTGTGCATTTTGTCAACACATGCGCATTCTCTCGACATGCATGCATGTACAGTACTGGTAATTCAGTATATCAATATATACTGTACTGTATGTGTATATATACAGTATTACAATTTATATTATGTATATTTTCAGTACTGTAGGACTGTTTTAACCCCTTGACTGTCACAACCCCAAATCCTGAGGTGTCTCCTGGTGTCGCAAAATTTCCAAAAAAAAAAAAAATATTTTTTCTTATGAAATGATAGAGAATTTTCCCAATTGTAATGACACCAAAAGAACGAAATTTGATGGAAAACTGATGGAATTATGTTCTCGCGAAATTAGCAACCTTGGCAATATTTACGATTCAGCGATTTCATCCACTTTGAGCCCTATTTTCAGCTAATTCCATTATTCCAGTCGACCAAACTCATACCTATTTCTTTAGAACTCCATTTTTTCTATCGACTGAGTACAAGAAACTGCCCATTTACCGATTTCAACTACCCAATAACGTGGTCAGAAATTTGCAATTTGGCCAATTTCATGAATATTAAAAAAATGACAATTTCAAAACAGGGTCCAGAATGAACAATGCAGACATTCCTGGTTCTAAAACAACATTTTCTTTGTTCATCAGTCATGTCTCCAGGCTCCTCTGATATTACTCTTGCTTTCTATTTTGAATTTTTATTCAAACAAAAAATAGAAGATTTACTGGTATGCAGACTACTGCAATATTGTAATAATTGTATAAATAATGTCAACCCATTCATGACTGCATATTAGAATGGCTACTTGGACATTTATTGGAAAATGACATCATTTGTTTACTTTTGAACATTGGCAAAAATCAAACATTTCCCCTACTTTGAGCTCCATTCAAAATCACCTCTATTTCTATATGTTTTCCATTCTATCAAATGAGACCAAGAAAACGGGAATACAACCATAAATACTATACGAAAATAGACCACAAAGCCGGCATTTTAATTAAAAAAAAAAAAAAAAAAAAACGGTCCGAGTTCTTTTTTTTCATTATGCACTGCATGCTGCAGGATTTTTTTTTATATGGTGCACACTGACCACACAGACCCATTCTCTCGCATGTGGGCCTACCAGCTTTTTCCTGCTTGATTTGAAGCCGCTAGAATTTATGAGTATATATACGTCAAAAACGGTGGCTCGTAAGACGTATATATATGACCGAAACAGTCAAAGGGTTAAACAAAGAAAACACACGCACACACACACACAAAAAAAAAAAAAAAAGTCAGCAGGATTTGAACCCAGGTCACCAGCTTTCCAAAGTATAAATAGATGACAAACTCATGCCTAAAACCACTCAGCTACAGATGCCTCAAAACTTTGGGTGGCCAGCCAGAACACTAGTCATGTTCCCCTTGAACCTAAGATGTCTCCCAACATGGAAAAATTGTATTTTTTCCACAAAGAACAACTTTAAAACAACTGCAACTAAACACATATAGTGTGTATTTGACCACACAATCCATATTCTTCATGTAACCTAATTTCACTCTCTCCCACTTCTATTATATAACAATGTGTGAACTACATAAAATTTCATCATTCATCTATCACACTTTTAGCTCAATTTATACTGGTTATCCTGAAGAGATATACAGTTATTTTTATTATGTATTGGACCTAATATTCGTGCATCATCTGTAAACATTCATTTACCTTTTATTCCTACCAGTAAATCATTTACATTAATTAAAAATGTTAATGGGGCATGTGTAGATCCTTGTATACACCTATACTTACCAAGACTGATGTAGCATTATTTAGCATAGGTCCATAGGTTACATATGAGTGACCGGTGATCCATCCAATGTCAGCTGTGCAGAAATAGACGTCTCCTGGATGATAGTCAAAAGTGTATTTGAAGGTTGTAGCAACATACAACATGTATCCACCAATGGTATGCAACACTCCTTTGGGCTTGCCTGTGCTGCCACTGTTTTAAGAACAACAACTCAGCATTTTAAAAATATTACCCTCTGATCAGTATTAATAACTAAATCACTGAAATTTTTTAATTCATCACAAGTGTATGAGTATGTTTGTTCACTACAGCTTTATACACACATGCATGAACAAGAAACATGAGCTGTCATTTACTTTATACAAATCAAATAACTACCAGTAAATTTGATAAACACATACAGTTACTTTTTGCTGATGATACTGTGCTTATGGGAGATTCTAAAGAAAAATTGCAAAGGTTAGTGGATGAGTTTGGGAATGTGTGTAAAGGTAGAAAACTGAAAGTGAACATAGAAAAGAGTAAGGTGATGAGGGTGTCAAATGATTTAGATAAAGAAAAATTGGATATCAAATTGGAGAGGAGGAGTATGGAAGAAGTGAATGTTTTCAGATACTTGGGAGTTGACGTGTCGGCGGATGGATTTAGAAGGATGAGGTTAATCATAGAATGATGAGGGAAAAAAGGTGAGTGGTGCGTTGAGGTATATGTGGAGTCAAAAAACGTTATCTATGGAGGCAAAGAAGGGAATGTATGAAAGTATAGTAGTGCCAACACTTTTATATGGGTGTGAAGCTTGGGTGGTAAATGCAGCAGCGAGGAGACGTTTGGAGGCAGTGGAGATGTCCTGTTTAAGGGCAATGTGTGGTGTAAATATTATGCAGAAAATTCGGAGTTTGGAAATTAGGAGAAGGTGTGTAGTTAATAAAAGTATTAGTCAGAGGGCAGAAGAGGGGTTGTTGAGGTGGTTTGGTCATTTAGAGAGAATGGATCAAAGTAGAATGATATGGAAAGCATATAAATCTATAGGGGAAGGAAGGCGGGGTAGGGGTCGTCCTCGAAAGGGTTGGAGAGAGGGGGTAAAGGAGGTTTTGTGGGCGAGGGGCTTGGACTTCCAGCAAGCGTGCGTGAGCGTGTTAGATAGGAGTGAATGGAGACGAATGGTACTTGGGACCTGACGATCTGTTGGAGTGTGAGCAGGGTAATATTTAGTGAAGGGATTCAGGGAAACCGGTTATTTTCATATAGTCGGACTTGAGTCCTGGAAATGGGAAGTACAATGCCTGCACTTTAAAGGAGGGGTTTGGGATATTGGCAGTTTGGAGGGATATGTTGTGTATCTTTATATGTGTATGCTTCTAGACTGTTGTATTCTGAGCACCTCTGCAAAAACAGTGATAATGTGTGAGTGTGGTGAAAGTGTTGAATGATGATGAAAGTATTTTCTTTTTGGGGATTTTCTTTCTTTTTTGGGTCACCCTGCCTCGGTGGGAGACGGCCGACTTGTTGAGAAAAAAAAAAAAAAAAAAATACAGTTCGGTCATATGTCTGAATGTGCGTGGATGTTGTGTGAATGATATGAAAGAGATGATTGTGGATGTTATGAATGAGGAGCTGGATGTCCAGGCTATAGGTGAAACAAAGCTGAAGGGGGTAGGAGAGTATCAATAGGGAGAAATAAATGGGATTAGGTCAGGGGTTTCAAATTGAGTTAGAGCTAAAGGAGTAGCAATAATGTTGAAGGATAAGTTATGGCAGGAAAAGAGGGAATATAAATGTATAAATTCCAGGATTATGTGGTGTAAAATAAGGGTTATAGAAAGTGTTTATGTATCTGGAGAAGAGAGAAGTGTAGAGGACAGAGAGAGATTTTGGGAAATGTTGAGTGAGGGTGTGGGAAGTTTTGAACCTAGTGAGGGAGTACCTGTGTTGGGGATCTCAATGCTGAAGTGGGTAAAAATGTTGTGGAGGGAGTAGTAGGTAAATGAAAATGGAGAGCCTTTAACTGAGCTAGGGAGCCTTTAATTGAGCTATGTGTACAAAGAGGCTTGGTAATAAGTACAGTGGTACCTTGACTTATGAGTTTAATTCGTTCTGTGACCCAGCTCATAACTCAATTTGCTTGTATATGAAATCAATTTTCCTCATTAAAATTAATTGAAATGCCATTAATCCATTCCAGCTCCCAAAAAACTACCCCAATTTTTTTGTTACGGGTTTTTAAATAAGAACCACCTTCACTAGTCCACCCACCACTATCTCTACTACACCTACCACCCTCACTACTCCACCCACTGCCATATCTACTCCACTCACCATTATTACTACTCCATCCACCATCCTCCCTACTCCACTCACCATTTTCACTACTCCACCCACCACTATCACTACTCCACCCACCACTATCAGTATTCCACCTACTGAAGGAACCTCTGTGAGGCAGATAAATATCACGGGGGCATTCCTTAATGTTTCTGGAGAAACTGAGTGTTGAAATGGAGGTTACCTCTTCCCCAGATTTATATGAGAACCAAACAAGGGACGAGGTGCCTCACTACAATCTGGGATTAGTGTGGGAGTATTATCCTTCCAGTTATGTCTTGGAAGAGCATGTGGGATGGGGCGAAGTACAGTGGACCCCCGCATACTGTTGGCATCACATAACGTTAAATCCGCATACCGATACATTTTATCGCTAAGATTTTGCCTCGCATACCGCTAAAAAACCCACTCAACGCTATTCGTCCGAGACGCGTCTAATGTGCGGCCTGAGCCAGCCTCACATGTTCCGCCGGTGGCATTGTTTACAAGCCAGCCTCCGCGGTAACATCCAAGCATACAATCGGAACATTTCGTATTATTACAGCGTTTTTGGTGATTTTATCTGCAAAATAAGCGACCATGGGCCCTAAGAAAGCTTCTAGTGCCAACCCTGTGGTAAAAAGGGTGAGAAATATTATCGAAATACTGTGGTACCATGGTCAACTGCTGATGCTGCTGCTGCTGTAGCACTGTCAGCTGCTGCTGCTGCTGTAGCACCGTCAGCTGCTGCTGCTGCTGTACCACCGTCAGCTGCTGCTGCTGCTGCTGTCGTACCAACTGCTGCTGCTGTAGCACCGTCTGCTACTGCTGTAGCACTGTCAGCTGCTGCTGCTGCTGTAGCACCATCAGCTGCTGCTGCTGCTGTACCTCCATCAGCTGCTGTGGCTGCTGTACCTCCATCAGCTGCTGTTGCTGCTGTAGTACCGTCTGCTGCTGCTGTAGCACTGTCAGCTGCTGCTGCTGTAGCACTGTCAGCTGCTGCTGCTGTAGCACTGTCAGCTGCTGCTGCTGTAGCACTGTCAGCTGCTGCTGCTGTAGCACTGTCAGCTGCTGCTGCTGTAGCACTGTCAGCTGCTGCTGCTGACACGTGCTGTCTGCTGCTTAGCACTGTCCAGCTGCTTAGCTGCTGCTGTAGCACGGACCTCCCCCTTTAAGGGCCCTTGGGGAGGGGTCATTTTGGTTGTGGGGGAGTAACCTTCAGAGGGGGCTTGGGGGGTGCTTTTCCCTCCCCGAAACTTTTGGCTTGAAAACCTCCATAAAACCGCTTTTTTCCCTGCTGAAAAAACCCCTCCGCTTTGTAGCCCCGGTCAATTGCCCCTGCGCCACTAAAAGTTCCCCCGGGGGCTTTTTAAGCACTGGGTTCCCCAAAGCTCTGGCCTTTGTAAATTTTCAGTTTTTTTTTGGGGTTTTTGATTGTACTGCTTGCACCGGGAAAGATTTTCAGTGCCCTGGGGTTAAAAGGGTATTTTTGCTCTGGGGCCCCCCCAGGGTAAATTTGCGTTGGCTGCTGCTGTAGCCCCGTTGTTGCGGTGGGGCTTTTAAAAAACCGTAAATTTTTTTTTAAACCCAGGGTTGCCCCGGGAAAACCAAAAAAGTCTTGTAAAAGACCTTTTCTCCTTACTGCAATTACCAAGGGGTTCGCTTTTTTGCCCCCCGGGTGAAACCCACATCGTCGTTTCCCACCCAGTGGGGGGAAAAAATCCTAACTTTTTGTTTTCATCCCTTGGTGTTTGCCGAAAAGGTTGGTTTGGAGAATTTAAAAACGTGTTGCATTCACGTGTGTTGGGGCCCAATGTTCTGGAAAAAAAAATGCCCGGACCTTTCAGTTCTCGGAAAAAGGCACTTCCCGGCTGTGTCCCTTCAGTCTTGCTGCTCTTCTTAAATTTGTTTTTATTTTAAAAAAGAAAAAAAGGGGGAAACCCCGGGGGAAACCAAAAAATATTGTCATGAAACTGTTAAATTTGGGTTTTTTCCAAGGGTTCCTTAATTTGTTTAGGGAAAAATGTAAAAACCCAAGGGTGGGGAAAAATTTTTTTTTCTTTATTTTGGTGTTTTTGCAGGAAAAGGGTTTTTTAAATTTTAAGGGGAAAATTCATTGCAAAAGGGGAAAAATTTCGGAAAAAAAAAAGGGCCTCTTCAGGAGGAAAACCCTTAGGTGGGGCCCACGTCATTGGGAATTTTAATTGGGATTTAAACCCTTTGAGTTTTACGCCATTTTTAAAAGTTTTAAACCCGCACCATGTTTTTCTTTGTTTTTAGGAAAATTTTTATTTTTTTTTAAATTTTTTTTTCTTATTTTGGGTTGTTTTCCGGAAAATTTAAAACCCCATTTTGGGGAAATTCCCGCAAATTTTCCCCTAAACAAGGACCCTTTTAGGAAAAGGTTTTTCTTTTAATCCATTTCCCCCAGGGGGCCCCTTAGGAAGAAATTTAAAGAAAACCAAGAAATTTTAGAAAAGGAGAAAACCAAAAATTGAATGGTTTTAAAAAGTTTTTTTCTTCCTTTTTGGAATTTTAAAAAGGGAAGGGGGTTAAAGGCCAGATCCCTTTTTACCCCAAAAGCCGGGGTTTAGGGGGGAAGAAAAAAACCACCCCCTAAAAAAAAAAATGGCAAAATTTTTTTAAAAAAGGGTTTCTGTTTACTCTTTTGGGCAGGCCGGTTTTGTAATTCCCTGGTGGTTTTTTTACCAAAAAACCCTTTTATTGGTGAAAAATTGGAAAAAAAAGGAAAAAAGAAATTAAATTTATGAAAAAAAAAAAGGGTTTTTGGATTGGAAAAGGGGGTTTGGGTGGTTCTTTAAAACCTTACACCTAGGGAAATTAAAATGTGTAAAAAAAATTTTGGGGGAAAATTTAAAGTAAATTTTGGA